ATCTTCATTGTTAAAAAAACAAACCAAAACAAAAGCATAGGATCATGCTCTCCAGTCTCTTTTGTGTTTTTAAGGGCTTTTTTTTTTGTCCTCGTTAACTCTTTTCTACATAATTAAAAATATTTTAAATGGAAAAGGCTTTTTGTATGTTCTTATGAATTACTATGGTAATTCTTTTTTAAGCAGGAGAGTAATTACCTACAGCTAAATCCTATTGAATTTGTAAGCACTCAAATACATTCCTCCCTGTGAACTAAAATTTTTGCACCTACTTTTTGTTGATATCACTCTCAGGTTTTAGAATGAATATAAATAAAGTCCACAGCTGAACATTTAGGGTCTCATCTAATGCTGTATCTTTCTTTTTCCTATATTCCTGCTTAAATTTTAGCTGGGAATAGATGATTGAAGTGTTACTTTAAAGCAGCTTGATTGAACTTCATTAAATGTAATTTATGTTCTACAATGATATTCCAAATATTTAAGAACTGTACAGAAATAGGAACATGCATCTTTACTTTAAAAAATAAATGTTAGTACATTTACCATCTCCCCAAAGAAGTTGTTTTTTCAAGGTGGACATTTTTAACATTGGTAAAACCATCTGCCAAAGCCTGAAGATTTGTACACTGAAGAATAGCAGAAATATTCCATGATGAATTACTGCATATTTACAAGAATGATTCTAACAACATGTTAAACATTGAATTATTCACTGTTGCTTCAAATTTTACATCTTTTCAGTAATTTTCCTACTCCAGGATATTTTTTCCATGTGTTTTATTGTCATACTGGCTTTAATTATACAGCCATAAGGCTGTTGAAAGAATAGATTCCAAAATAGATGCAAGTATTTTCAAACCAAACAAAATTTGAGGGTGAGGGTATGTATATGAAATATCTCGTCAGACTGGAATTCAACATACCATATTCAAAATAAAGATCTGAATACATACGTGTGTAGAAAAAAATTCAAAACGTAGGATTCAGAAAAGGAGAGGAACAGAATATAAATGTCTCTCTACAACATTCAGCCATAAATGTGCAAAAAGAAGATAGTGCTGGGTCCTGATTATAGCTTCTTTCTGATGTGATTGTTACGTGATCTTCAACCAGTCACTTATGGCAAGATCCAAAAGGAGACAAAGGCACCCTCATGCTGAGAACTGCTATGCTTATCTTTTTTGATGCTTGAGAGTAGGATCCAGGACCATACTAGGTCCCTGGGCTCCCTGTACACCTTAGAATGGGATCCAAAATAATGACCCTGCTGATCTGCAAGCTGCCTAGACTTGGCCAACAAGAAACGATGAAGACAGGGTGTCTTATATTTCAGTCTTCTCCAGGGTTTAGGCTCCTAAACGTTAGGTTCCTATTATGCAAACACTTCTGCATAACTGAATCCAAGAGTCTTGTGCTATCAGCTACTGATGTGCACAAATGTAAGCCCAATTATGCCCAAATATTAGCTTCAGTTCCTAAGGCAAATAAGTTTTGAAGATGCTTAATTACTTTGAAGGTGCTTAGCGAGCAGCAGGAATAAAGCCCTTACCTTTCTTTAGCTTTAGCAAATGAACCTGTTTCTCTCTCAGAGGATCCAATTTTCAAATAAAGGTACCTAAGACAGTGATTTTCAGCCAGGGCTCATGCACCCTGGAGTGCCTTAAAATCCTTTCAAGGGGGTTGCAAGGTGCCACACAATGTCATCACTAGGGTCCTACTCAGTTTGGGATTTTGTGAAATTCGACATTGTCTTTGAAAGTCACAAAATTAAAACAAACAAACAAACAAATAAAAATAAAATGCTGGCTCCCCAGTGGGGCAGAGTCACATGATGGACAGTTCTCTTGGCCAATCAGTGGCAAGGGGGGGGGAACTGCACGAGAGCCAGTCCTCTCAGCCAGTTGAGGGCAGGGCCACTGGGGCTCCTTGGCCAGAGGCGTGGGGGCCCTGCCGCGATAAACCTGTGAAAATGGCAGCCAGCCCCATGATCAACCTGTGATATTGACTGCCTTCCTCCTCGATTTCAGTAGGCTCCTAGTTACCACCGTTAAGTTTGCAAACATGATTCACAAGATAAATCCATAGATTTCAAAAAGAAATCCTTAGTTGTCGCCTTTATGAGTTTGTTGCAACGGGAAAACCGCTCTATTATTGTTCTATACTCAAACAAATGAGTGAAAACTGAGAACTAGCATTTTCTGAGGAGTGCTGTGAGGCTTGCCTTAAGTCTAAAAAGGTTGAGAACCACTGACTTAAGAAACAGGAACAAATTACTGGTACTCAACTACCAGTTTGGGGCATGTAAGTGCCAACCTGGGTGACTGAACAGAGCTGTGCATGCTAAAGGAAGTGACAAAGTTTGGAACTAGAAGCAGTAAAAGGGTCTCAGACCCACTTAGGCCATGGCTGTGTATTCTGAGCAGGATGAAGTCCAGCTGATTTCACTAGGTTTCTATTGTAACATGCATGACTGCTTTGAGCACAAACATTACATAAAACTTAGAAATGGACTGCTTTGCACCTGCCGACAAACTATTATTAATTGGCTTTTCTCACCTCTGAGATCTACAGAATTATGTTAAAAAATAAATAGGAAGAAAGAAATCTAGTAACAAAATTTTGAAGTTACACAATTTTGCACATTATTCTGTTGAAAACACAGTAAAGAAGTCTGCTGAATTACAGAAAGATGGTAAGTTCATAATTTTGTCTCTTGATTTTTGTTTACTAACTGAAGGTCTAATTGTTTTGCTCCATTTAATTAACAATGTTCTCATTTTAATGAGTTATTTCACTGCGTATATTAGCAGATGGATAAAACGCACAGGACATGAATAATAAGACAAAGAATTTAAAATTTTGTTTATTTTGGACAGTTTTTTTAATTTAACTTTAAATGCTCTGATTTTTTCTTGACTCTGGCAACTGCATCTACAAGACATTCATTCCAGTTAGGGAAATCATAAGATCAATCTTTTCATTATTATTATTTTAAATATTGTCACACTATAAAAAAAAATTTCCCCCAGGAGAATGCTATAGTAGTTTACCTAAATTTATGGAGACGAGACCAATATGTTGGGTGTCATGATATGTATGGATAGATGCGCTATCTACTGAGCTAGCATGCTGAGTAGAGAGTGACATCTTGTTACCTGAATTTACCAATATCAATACACTAGAGAAAACTCCATCTGAATAAATTTGCTGTATGCTTAAAGGTGGCGTTACTTCCCACAACTGTACGTAATTCCAATCTTATGTTCTTCAATAAAGATATTGCAGTCTCCATCAGTATTACAATGTATACTCATTTCAGGAAGCAAAGGGTGACTACATCCGTGATATCTGCAGCCCCAATTATCTCATCAAAACTGGGTTTCCCACAGAAAAAAAAAATTGTATACAACCCGAATATTTTTATGTAAGCATGTACAGTAAAAGCCATGTTAGCCAGCATTTTACTAACCGGAATACTCTATTAACTGGAATTTCCAATATCCCCCATTACAAATCCTCACTTTAGCAACGAGTATTTTTGCCAAGTCTATCCGGTGTGCGCATCAAGTATTTCTGTTGTTTATATTAGTTAGTGATGCTGCCAATACAGGAGCTGCTGGAAGCCCTTCTACTTGATATCTGCATAGACAGATGGAGTAAATGTTTTTGGTGGGGGGCTGAACATGCACACCTTGCCAGGCAGGAAAGTCTGCGGGGGAAAGGGCAGGGGGAGGAGAAAGGGATCTGCGTGGGGCAGGGCAGGCTAATGCTGCAGGTTGGAGCTGGTATAACTCTCAGGTAACCGTAATTTTTAAGTAACTGGCACCCCCCTTGCCCCACTTACGCCAGATAACAAAGCTTTTACTGTATTCGTAAATGGGGCATACAGAATATGATTTCACTGAACTGGAGCAGAATCCAGGTTCAACATCAAATCTGATTCATAAAGGAGTCTTACTCATTGCTAAAAGGGATTTTACTAATTGTATCATAAAGAAAAATGGTTTTCTGTTGTTGTATAATACTATATAGTGGAAACTGTGGGCAGCTTCCTTTGATCAGCATAGTCAAGAGCACGTCTCACTTGTGAAGTACCCATTTGATCTCATGATTTGTCAAACTGCAGTAAGCAGCACTGCAGATTTTCTTTTTAGCTGCTGTCCCCCAGTACCTATCACTGTAGAAAAGGTTAAATCCAGTAACCTGTGGGTTAATTTGGCAATTCTCATTTTGTAGGCCAAGGCTTTCAGCACTGCTGTATATGAAAAAGGTCAGCTGTCCACATCACCTCTGACGATCAGAAAAATAGCAGAACTGGCAGTCCTTTTTCATCTAAAACAGCAAACTGAGGACTTAATCCTGAGGCATGCTAAATGGCCTCAACTCATAATGCAATTTAGAGGAGATTGACTGGTTGGGTATTAATAATCCTTTCATTTCAGAATTGCAGATTCAAATCCATCCTAAATTAATGGTGACTTTAACAGCTTTAGGGATATAAGGTTGGAGTTGTGTTGGTTGAAGGACAAGAGCACAGACCAACTGCAGATGCTTCCTCAGCCTGATGAAGGGTATTTACACCTGAAAGCTTCCAAAGAAGAATTTTTCCAACTGTCTGAGTTGATCTAATAAAATATATCAGATTTACCGAAGAACCTTGTCTGCCTTTAAAAATCTGACAATTATTTGCTGGCCAACACGAAATTAACTAGCGAGTTTGGTTTAGTTCTCACTTCATAAAGAACCAACATATATTTTAGCACTATATGGAACTTTACTAGTTATTCAGTCAAGATCAATATTAGCCTGTTCCTGAAGAATGAACTCCTCCCTTCAATGTGCAGGACGGTCTCTTCAGAAGATGGTTGAATTATGCTAAGAAGGTTGTACAGAGAGAATTCCAGTGTCCCTGCTAGGTCACTGATTTGTTGAGGCAACAGATTTATGAGGAACAGCAATCTGAGCAAGAGCAATAAAAATGAAAAACAAAAAGCAAGTCATTAAAAGCAATGTCACCTTTTTATTATGTGTACTACAATAGGATCTAGTGGTACTAAACAAAATTGAAGCCCCATTATGAAAAGAGGTACCTGGCCCCCAAAATTCATACTTTAAATTTTTACTAAAAGGAAGCAAGACACAGAAATAACAAACACATTTATTCAGTGTCATATAGGAAATCTGTGACAGAGCCAGAAGCCAGGCGTGCATCTTGTGCGTTCCAGTCCTGTGTTAAACCACAAGACCATGAAAAATACTATAAGTTTTGATGTGTATAAAATGGGTACAGAAATGATAAAGAACAGGGAGTCCAATTAGGACTCCTTAACCCATTAGTATTTTATTTGTCTGTAATTCAATGAAGGCATTAATACCGGACAATTTCTGACCCAGAAAATAAAATATTAAAAATCTTGAAAAAAATCCAAATGAAAACTAATTAGGTACAAAGAGAATAAGCCAAATATTTGCTTCCTCCACCAAAGAGATATAGTACCCTCATGTGCCAGTCCCACAACTCAAAGTTTGCTTTTTCTTTTCTCATGTTGTGTCTTGTACAGTGCCAAGAGACTATCCTCAGATGACGAAATTAAATTGTCAAGATCATACTCCACATCAAACGTAGGTCTCTCTCCAAAAATTACAAGGGCAAGAAATACAGCAAAGTGTGCAGTGAGTCCCCATATTTCATATGACGTATTATGCTCAGGGTCATCATACACAAAGGAATGCATCCAATGTGAAACACCATCTGATGCTCTATAAGGCAGAGCTGTGTACTTTACTGGATTGATAAAGTAGTCCAATGGCACCACAAACACAGCACTCACTTCCTCTGGGTTAGGACAGGCCTGGAATGAGTCATCTATAAATCCTGCAACTGGTGTAATCAAAGAACCCATCTGAAAGCAAGAAAAGACATTCACCTGTATGAAATAAGTAAAAATAAACTATTTTAAAGATGTTTAAAAAAATAAAAGTACCTATTGAAAACCTATTGATAATTTACAAGCCAGTCATACTTGTAAAGCAGTTTTAGTTCCTGATTCAGCAACATAGTGTGCACATATTTTACAACAAATGTTAGTGGCTACTTGTATCTTTACATGTCTTCAGCACTTGCTGAACTGTAGCCTGTGTATCCTCTCAGCTGCAGGCAGTACGGAACAACCTGTTCGAGTTGTTAGCTTCTGCATGTGCAGCTCTGGGTGAGCTGCTTCCTAAACCACAGTTGCATCTACACGATGCCAAAAGGGGCACAGAGGGAGTCTGGAGGTGGTGTCAACAGTGTGGCACCATGTTGCTTCCTGTGTAGGAAGCCACTCCCAGGGAGTAGTGCAGCATGCCTGAGAATGCCACGGCACATTTACTGTGTAAATGTGGTTCTAGGTTGAAAGGGAATGCAACGAACAGAAATGCCACCTGACAAAAAAATCAGCCTGGTCTATTTTGGGGAGTTTTCCTGTTGTCACAAACTCTCTAGGATTGTAACCCATCTTTTGTAATTTACTAGGACAGTGGTGTGGTATGCCTGCCCAACAGACTACCCAAGTAAAGCGCCCCCTCCCCCAGCACTATTCGGATCACTGCCTCCCAATAGCATACTTGATGAGCATGGGCAGGACACTACTGTGCCAAGAGTCAGGTTAACTTTTCCTTGGCCCTGCAACTGCTGCACTTGGTAATATGGTAAGCAAGGATCCCAAACCCTTAATCTGGCAGTAGCTCCAGAGCCAGGGAAAGGTTAACCTTGCTCTTGGTGGTGACATTTGACACTTGCCATTGCAGCAATAGCATATTCCTGCCCCTGCTCTATTCCATATGGCTGGAAGCTCCAACAAGTGTCCATGCCTCCATTCACCGAGGGTGTTTATACGTGTGCTTTGGAGGAAGGGAGGGGCGCTTTCAATAGAGTGGCTGCACTCTGAAGTGCTTGGAGCATCTTGTATACCAGTGTCCCTGCACGAATGCTGATACACAAGATGCTGGAGTCTGCTGGAGCACGGTAATTACCACGCTGCAGTAGATTTGATTAATTGAGTCTGCTCCAACATACTGTAATTACAGTGCATTGGAGCAGCATCAAAGCATGTGCATAGGTGCCCTGAGTGCCCGTGCCAAACACAGCAGCTGCCCGAGCCTCTTATGGCACATGTGCCACAGGCTGGCCGCCCGCTGTAGTTGGAGATACTTATTTTTAAACAACGTAGATACTTATTGCAAGCATCTCTCTTCCATTGGGGAATAAAAGTTTTTAAAAAGGATTATTTTACAGAGAGAGGATGTTACAATAATTCTCCTTTTGGATAGGCTTCTACCCCTATTTGTTAGTCAGCAAAGAGTTGTTACAGTTCCATAGCAAACATCAGTGTTCCAAATACAGGTACCACAGTTTGTTCTCATTTAATCCAAGTATGAAGTGACTCTAGCTAAATTAAACAAAATTACTCTGGATCATTATTATGGTGAAAGGAGAATAAGACAAATATAACAACCTAAATAGATCTTCTTAAAAAGTGCGTAATGAATAACAATTCTCAAAAGAGGTTACAAAGCTAGATAGATCTTTGGTTTCACCCACTTGAGTACTTATTATTTTTATGCAAAAGTGGACAATACTTTTAACAGAATGTTAAAAGTTTAGTTCTCTGTGTATTCAGATGTTAATGCATCCTTCAAATTATTATAATGCTACATAATATGACTGGATAGAAAATAGTGAAGACAACAGTTATAAAAGCTAGGTTTATCCTTTTCAGAGTCTTTGAATTTTGGTGCTTCAAACAGTATCTTTGCATGAAGTTTCAAAATATTAGATAAAGCATGTTTCCATTGTAATCCTAAAAGTAATCCTACCTTTATTCTTATCTTGCAGGATAAAAACCTCACAGTACCAGATCAAACGACAATACAGAAACAAATGTTACCACATTACTGAACGAAAATTGCTACCTAAACTCAAAAAGATGAAAAAGCCCTGCTTTCAAAAAGTAACACTTTATATCCTGTCTCAGTATGTGGAAACTGTTCCTATGTGAGATAAGGCTGGAGGCTAGAAGCTTGTGAATTTATAAACTAACACCGAGATACAGCTCAAAAGACATTTCCAGTGCGGAAGATGCCTACTGCCTGATGTGCCAAGGGTACCTGAACAAAGGTAACAGCACTCACTGTTACAGGTCTGAAATGGGACCGGGAGTGAAAGGCAACAGCAAGTTTCTCCAACAAGATTCTTTCCAATAAAATTTTGAACTCTTTGATTTAATTTTCAGCTTACTTTATCAATCCCAGGTACAAGTCTACAGATGACTTCCACCTGCTCTGGACAGAGTCCAACTTCTTCCTTGGCTTCTCGGAGTGCAGTGGCTATTTCATCTCTATCTGTTGCTTCACTTTTACCTCCTGGAAAGCACACTTCCCCTGGTGATCTTCTCAACTAGAAATTAAAGGAATATCGCTGCTAAATACTATCAGGTCAGCAACCTTTTCGAGCAGGTGGCCAGTGCTAGTAGCCCAGCCACAGCTGCAAATTACCTGCAGCACCCCGGCCCTTCTTACTCTGGACCAACTGCTGGTCTCCCATATCCCTAGTTTAGACCATTATGGCATGGATTCATACCCCATAACCACCCTACATTTTTGTAAATCTGGCTGGATCAAATTGCTGATAATTGTAACAACAAGAGCTCTGTAGATCAAAACAGAAGCATTTCCAGAGTTATGGCTACATAGAGCAAGGACAGAACTTAATTTTCAGCAGACTCACCCCTTCTTTCCTGGTTAACTGAAGCTGAAACCCTAGCTAGTACTGAAGGCTGGTTTCCATGGGTGGATGCACGATTCTGAAAAGAGCTAAAGCATCTCCAAGGCTGTTACATAGAGGTAGAGAAACTAGAAGCAGCTAGCAGACAGCACAATTGTACTAAGAAAGGTTAGCTTGATTAGTGGAACATCACTCTGGAAGAACAATGAGCCATTAAATCAGTTGGTTTCCTCAGTGGCCCAAATAGTAATGCAACAGGTGCTGCACTGTGAAGCAGGAATTAAGGCATATCCTAGGTCAGAAAATCAGCTTTCCTGGTTAATACACAAATCCTAATTTTGGAGGAAAAAGATGTATACTGTATGCAGGAAAATATAGTATATTGCTATAAAATGCTCTGCAGTTTGCCACAGGTACTTTCCTTTTAACTTCAAAATTTACATGCAATGATTTTTTGCCATATGTCCCTCACATTAAGTGCTTAAGGTAGAGGGGGTTCTTCAATGAACATCTATAAAAATCAACAGCTGACACTCACTCAGAATAAGCAACATTTTAAAAAATAAGTCCAGTGACACAGTCACAGTCTTGCAGAAAAGCTCCATCAGACTGTGCAATCAGTTAGTGTAAACGTAATTATTAGGATTTCAAGTTTTCTGAGTACAGAATTTCTATTGTGCATTTCAGGGAGATTTCTGCATCTCTCATGAGCAGAAAACAGCTAGGTTACTAACTTAAAAAAAAGTACAAGCAGTAAACCTAATAACTACGGTAAGAAATGAGCAGGTTTAGAGACAAACAGAACTGGCATAAAAATTAAGAAAATAAGTTACCATATATTTGTTGTCTCATTTTTTGGAAGTAGAGGGAGAGATTGAAAAAGTAACCATTAAATGCAAATTCATGAATCACACTATGAAGAACTTTTCTACTAAATTCAGGAAACCTAATCACAATCCCTTGTCTTCCAAGGCAGAAATCTCTACTAGATATCACAGCACCATTTAAGTATACTACTGGGTCTTTCTTCTGTAAATACTAGAGTGATCAGTTGGCACAAATGCTGATATGAATGTACCAATGAGGTCTGGTGTATTTACATACTAGTCGCATCCATTTTTGGAAAGTGGGCCCCTAAAAACCTTCATTAGCAGTTAGGAACTGTATGAAAAGCTAATACCAGAATAAAAATACAACTGTTATGAGCTGTTCATCTCCTTTCTTCCTCCTTCACAAACTAATTAATCCTCATGTCACGTTAGATGTTATTAACCTTCAGGCTCACGTACCTTCATTGATCTGACAGTGAACAACACATGCAGCTTTTCATCTTTAACCATTAGAGGCATAAGAACAGATGCTTTAGTTAGCGGCAAATGGGAGAATTTGTCTCCAACATCATACTTTCTTAAGCTGATCTTAGCTTTATCTTTTATACTTTTTCTAAGAAAAAACCAAAAAAGCTCCATCACCAACAGAACGCTCATCACTTTAAAAAAAAACCCAAACACACAGAAAATTGTTAAAAGGGATTTGGAAATATGACAGTTCTTGAACATAAACTATTCGGTCAGTTTCTCATCGTTATAAAAAGGCAAATACGGGTAAGCACTGTGCCCCCCCCCCCCGCTCTC